GAGAGAGAGAGAGAGAGAGAGAGAGAAAGAAACATTCCAAGCAGGCTCCATGCTGTTAGCACAGAGCCCGATGCACGGGGCTCGATCCTCTAAACCATGAGATCATGACCTGAGCCAAGATCAAGAGTCGATATTTAACTGACTGAGCCACCTTGGCGGCTCTTGAAGCATTTTTTTGAATACTTCATATTTTGTCACACAGAATAGTAAAAAGATAAGTCCTCAAGACTCAAGATTTAACAAAATAAAGAAGTCTTGTTGTTTCATAGAAGACATTTTTAAGTTAAATTGGAATGTTTACTATAAATGGGTAGCAGTGGAGAAAAGTAACTACTAGTATAGTTTGGTCCCACTCACTGCCTTGATTTGTGCTAAGACACCAGCAGCTGCACCTGCTGCAAATGTCAACACAGAGAAAAAGACAAAGAATTAGCATTATTTTTTAAAATAGCATTGACTTTCTAGACCCTCTGGAAGGATCTCTGGGACACCCAGGATCCACGGATCATACTTTCATAATCACAATACCACACTGAACTATATAACCTCCTGTTACATTTTTACAGCACAGACTTAGCACAAATGGGTGTCCAATAAAAACAAATTTATTGATTACAGACAGTGGCATCCTTACAATATTACTGTGTGCCTTGGTTACATGAGTTATTCTTAATGGGGAGTAAAAAGATGCAGGAAAGTTAATTATCAGAGAGCTGTGTGATGAAGAGCTATGGATGTTTTTTAAATAAAATTGAGTATTCAAAGAAGAAATGAGAATAACAATAACGAGTTAATCCAGAATGAAGAGATCTGGGTAGCCAATCTTCCACAAATGATAGGAATAAAAGAAAAAATTGGGGGGAGAGGGAATGGAAAGTGTGATCCATGTAACAGCCCAGAGATGATCTCACAGTTAGTGAGATCAAGCCCTGTGTCAGGCCCTGTGCTGTTGGGCTCTGTATGGGATTCACTCTCTCTCTCCATCTCCTCCACTCACCCTCTCTCTTGCTCTCTCTCTCTCAAAATAAATACATAAACATTAAAAAAAATATATAAATGGACCCAGAACTCCAACAGGTTTTTTCTCTATGAAACCCATGGGTTAAAAAGGACAGATCTACAGAACAAAATAGGGATCAACCACAGAAAAATCATCACAAGGGGCTGGGGAAATAAACAGAGGAATGACATATATAACTGCTTGAGTACTTTAAGTCCATAGTTAATTATGTTACAAATTATTTCCTCTATGCTTCTACTGGACAGATAAAATTATTCCCTGAAATGCTCACACACTGAATTAGATCTTATGAGCACATAAGATCATGGCATAACACATGAAAAATGAAGAAAGGCGGTAAGCTCAAGATGCAAGTCTTCAAAGGGAAATGGCATTTCATTTTGATCACCAGGTGATGAAACACAGCCAACTCAAGAAGGCAATAGCACACGGCCAGCTGAAGGATAACCCCCAACTCTCAGAGGACATCACACTGTGGTTACTCTGATTAAACTGAGCTAGCGCCCTCAATAAACAACAGTCGTCTCCCCCCCCCCACCCACTCCCCACACCAAAATGGCCTACCTTACTAACATGAAGACGGCTGTTTGAACCACGAACTGGAGGCAAATTATCTTCCACCACTGGAAATGTTTCAGTTTCATGAAAGTATATTTGATTTTCTTCATTTTTAATTTCTGATACCCAACTCTGAGAAGAGGGAGAAGAAAGATGAACATACAGTTTGAAGTAATTAACCAGGTGTTAGAAAGGACTATACATCATCATAGTTTCTTAAGTGTTCATTTTTGGGGGGACTATTTGGTCATGCCATTCTATCTGTAATGTTCTTCTGCTATTTTATTTTTTTTAATGTTTATTTATTTTAAGGACAGAGAGCATGAATAGGGGAGGGCAGAGGGAGATAGAGAATACCAAGCATGCTCTGCGCCATCAGCAGAAAGCCCTATGTGGGGCTTGAACTCACCAACTGTGAGATCATGCCATGAGCCAAAATCAAGAGTTGGACCCTTAACCAACTGAGCCACTCGGGCGCCCCAATCTATTCTTCCTTTAAATTGTGGTAAAATACACAAAACAAAATGTATCACCTTAACCATTTTTAAGTGTACAGTTCAGGATTGTTACACACATTCACATGGTGCTGCCCTTCCTACTTTCATTATCTTGCAAGCTTACTCTCATCCCTTCAAACAAGCTTTTCCTGAACTTCCTGGTTGGACTCGAAATGCTCCTCCTCCATGTATTAGCACAGAGATTTAAAATCATCCATGTATTGTTCATCTCTCTCACATTCTGTAAATTCCTTTGGAGGCAGAACCTATGTCTTCGTCTCATCTTCGTTATGTATGAACCTAGCACAGTGCCTGGCACATAACAGGTTCGTAATAATGTCTATTAAACTGAATTGTTACAGGTTCTAGGCAGAAATTGAGAGGTTTCTTTGTTATCTGTGAAATTCTATTATTATTATTCAGCAGCTATATAGTGAGGGTCTAATATATGTCAAACCATATTAAATTAGACTTGGTTGATATAGTGATAAACTATATTATCTGCATCAGGAGGCAGGGAGACAAAAAGGAGGCAGACAGGTGAAACAGAAGAAGAAACAGAAAAACAGTAAGGGAAGAAAGGTGAAAAGGAAGAGGAGGAATTACAAAAGAAGAAAGAAAGAGAGAAGGGGGGCAGGGGGCAGCAGCACAGAGAGGGAGAAGTGGCAGCGAAAAGCATGAAAGAAAGGGAGATGAGGAGACAAAATCAAGAAGTGACTGAGAAAGAACACACGGTTGGGAAAAAGCAGATTCTGCAACTAAAACTAAGCTGTTTTTCCCTGGAAAATAAAGCCAAAGAACTCTGGACATAAACTACTATTTTAACTCGTAGATTAATTACCAGATTTTCAATTTCAAGTCAATAAAATGGCAAAATGAGAAAGTTTTTAAAAATGTAGTTTCCTGGGTTAGAGAATACATATTCCTCAAAATTGTCTTCAAATATATTATCCAACCCAGTAAAATATGCTGAATAAATAAAGTAAAACAACAAAGAACTATTTCTCCAGAATCCATTTTAGGAAGTTATCTCTTCAGCAAAAGGAAACCACAAAGAACTCTGAGGAAACACAGCAAATATGTATCTGGTGGAGAGGAAGTTTTCCTAAATATAAATGCAAGAAAAGATAATAAAGGATAAAACCAAGAAGAGTGATTACATAAAATATTTTTAATGAATAAACATGAAGAACACCACACACAAGATTTAAAAGACTAATGACAAATTGAAGGAAAATTTAGACTATATACGACAGATCTCTTACAAATTAGTAAGAAACACAGCAATAGAAAAATCAATAAAGGGATATCTCCTCCTGGCCCTGATGGAGTATCAGGGACTGGATTCACCCTCTTGCTTAACTCTAGAAAACCAGATAAAATATATGAAACAATGATTTTCAGACACTGGACAATAGGTAGCACAGGACAATGATCCCTGAAAGAAAGGAAACAAATGAGGTAAGTCCTGCATCTGTCCCAATTTACTGCCTATAATTTCCAGGCTACAACATAGGGAAGGGCAACCCAAACAGCCCTGTGGTCTCATTGAATTCAGAGGAACAGAGTGCAGGCTTCAGGGAGGCAAAGACTGCAGAGATACAGGGTGCAAAATAGCCAAGAAGAGGGAGCCAGACAGAGTGACAACACTAAAGATGACCTGAATAGCACTGTATATCTGTTCAAGAAATTTAATTCATAGTCAAAATCTTGCTTATAAAGAAAACTTGAGACCTAGATGGTATCAATGGTGAATTCTGGAAAATGTTTAAGGAAGAAATAACAGCAATTACACACAATCTTTCCTAGAAAATTCAAGAAGAGAGAACATGTCCCAACTCATTCTAAAAAGCCACCATTACCATGTTACCAATACCAGACAACAACATTACAAGAAAACTACAGACTAGGAACTCTCATGACTGCAGACACAAATATACTTCAAAAGATTTTAGCAAATTAAATCCAGCAATATATAAAAAAGACACATCATGACCAAGTAGAATTTATCCCTGAGTGCTAGACTGGTATAACATTTGAAAAGAGTGCACATAATATACCTTATTAACAGGCTACAAAGAAAATCTTATTTTCCTCTCAATGCAGGAAAAGAATTTATAAACTTCTATAACTATTCATGATAAAAATTCTCATCAAATAAGGAATAGAAGGGACCCTCCTCAGCATTATAAAGGGTCACATCATAAAATCTAAAGGCAACATTATACTTAATGGTGAAGAAAAAGCTGAATGATAATCTCCCTAATATTGTGAGCAAGACAAGGATATTTGCTCTTACCATTTCTATTCAACACTGTACTAGAGAGCCAAGCCTGTGCAATAATGAAAGTAAAAGAAATAAAAGGCAGCCATTCTGGAAAAGCCAAAGGAGACCTTTTATTATTTGTGGATAACATGATCCTAAATATAAAAAATTCCAATGAATCTAAAAAAAAGTTACTAGAACTAATTTGTAAATTTAACAGTCAATATAGGAAGACCATAAACTATAAACTTGCAATGGACAAATAAAAATGAAATTAAAATTCCACTGATATGAGGTATCTACATTAGTCAAACTTATGAAACAGAAAGTAGAATGGTGTTTGCCAGGGGCTGAAGGCACGGGGAATTGGAGAACTGTTGTTTAATGGGTACAGAGCTTCAGTTTTAGAAAATAAAGTTCTGAAGATTGATTATACAAGATGAATATAACACTACTGAACTGTATACTCAAAAATCTCTGAATATAATGGGCACCTGGAATGGCTTAGTCAGTTAAGCGTGTGATTCTTGGTTTCAGCTCAGGTCATGATCCCACAGTTTGTGAGATTGAGCCCCCGTGTCGGGCTCTGCGCTGACAGCATGGAGCCTGCTTGGGATTCTCTGTCTCCCTCTCTCCCTGCCCCTGCCCACTCATGCTCACACTCTCTCTCTCTCAAAATAAATAAACTTTAAAAAAATTAAAAAAATTAAAAAGATTTTTTTCATGTCTGAATATAACAATGTGAATATAACACTAATGTACACTTAAAAATGGCTAAGATGGTAAATTTTGTGTGATACGTATTTTATTACACCAAAAACAAATAAATACATAGTACATACATAAAATTTCATAACTAGAGTGACTTAGAATAAGCAAAAAAAAATTGAAATTAAAAAACATTAACTTTGGGGTGCCTGGGTGGCTCAATCAGTTAAGCATCCTTCTCTTATTTCAGCTCAAGGCATGATCCTACAGTTTGTGAGTTAAGCTCCTCATCAAGCTCTGCACTAACAAAGCAGAGCCTGCTTGGGATTCTTTCTCTCCCTGTCTCTCTGCCCCTCCCACACGCATGCTCGCTCGCTCTCTCTCTCTCTCTCTCTCTCTCAAAATAAATAAATGAAACTTAAAAAATTTTTAAAAATAAAAAACATTAACTTTTACAATAACATAAAGTATATTATATACTTAGGAATAAATTTAAAAAATATGCAAGAACTACACACTAAAAAAACCTACAAGATACTGGGACAAAACTTTAAAGAAGACTTAAATGAACAAAAAACATATGATGTTCATGGATCAGAGAATTTCAATATTGTTAAGATGTCAATTATTCCAAAATTGATCCATAAATTCATCACAATCCCAACCCAAAGACAAGCAAGTTATTTTGTAGTAACTGGCAAGCAAAGGACCTACAAGAGCTAAAACAACAATGAAAAAAGAGAACAAAGTTGGAGGACTTGTACTATCCAATTTTAGGCTTAATATAAGCCTTACCACAATCAAGAGAATGAGGTACTGGAGTAAAGACAGCCATTAGATTAATGAAAGAGAATAGAGAGAGTCCAGAAATAGACCCCTACATACACGGTCAATTCGTTTTTGACAATGCTACCAAGGTGTTCCATGGGGAAAGGATAATCTTTCATTAAATGGTGCTTGAAACCTTGAATACATATATTGTATGTGTGTATCCAAAAATGATAACTGATCCTAGAACTAAATTTAAAAGTTAAAGCTAGAAACTTTCTAGAAGAATCATATGAAGGAACTTGGGGATCTGGGATTATTAGACAAAGACTTCCTAAATAGGACACAAAGTACAGACTGTAAAAGAAAAATTGATTTTATCAAATTAAAAACCTTTGCTCTTCCAAAGACACTATTAAAAAAATGAAAAGGGAATCCACAGGATATAGAAAATACCTGCAAATGGTGTATCTAATGAAAGATACGTGTGTTACAACTCAATAAGAACACAAATAATTCAATTTTTTTTTAATGGGCAAAGGATTTCAAGACTTTTCACAAAAGAAGATCTATGTATGGCAAATAAGCACATGAAAAGACACTCAGGAAAGTCAGTCATTAAAATGGAAATGAAAACCACAATGAAACACCACGGCATACTTAATAAAATAGCTAAAATTAACAAAACTGGCATTACGAACTGCCAACCAGGATGCAGAGCAACAGGAACTTTTCTTTTGTTAACGATTATTTATTATCGAGAGACAGAGAGAGACAGCATGAGTGGGGGAGGAACAGAGAGAGAGAATCCGAAGCAGGCTCCAGGCTCTGAGCTGTTACCACAGAGCCTAATGCAGGGCTTCAACTCACGAACCATGAAATCATGACCTGAACTGAAGGCAGACGCTTAACGAACTGAGCCAGCCACCCAGGCACCCCAGCAACAGGAACTTTTATACACTGCTGGCAGGAATGCCACTTTGGAAAACATTTTGCTCAACCGGAAAGTGGATAAACGAACTGTGAGATACCCACACAATTCAATGCTGCTCAGCGATTAAAAGAAACCAACTGTGAACATGCAACAATGTAGACACATCTCAAAAGCATGATGCCAAATGACAGAAGACACAAAAGACCACACATACTGTATGGCTACATTTATAGGAAAGTCTAGAAAAGACAAATCCGTATGACAGAAAGCAGATCAGCAGTTACCAGGGACCAGGGTGTGGAGTCAGCACTGACTACACAGGGACACAAGAAAACTTTTTAGGCTAATAGAAATGTTTTATAGCATATACATGTGTCAAAACTCAGTGAAATGTAGACCATTGCTATTTTTTATTGAATGTAAATTATACCTCAATAAAGCTAAATCACTAAAGATATAGCTATTAACAAAAGAAGAAATTCAACTGATAAAAAAAATTTAATGTTGCTAGTAATCAAATACATCCTTACCATGTTTTCAATTATTTAATTGATTAAAAAATGATTGCAGTATCCAGTGAAGAATACCTTAATTTTTTTAATGTTTATTTATTTTTGAGAGAGAGATAGGGACAGAGCGTGTGCACAAGAGAGTAAGCAGGGGAGGGGCAGAAAGAGAAGGAGACACAGAATCCAAAGCAGGCTCCAGCCTCTGAGCTGTCAGCGCAGAGCCCAAAGCAGGGCTCGGGCTCACGGAACACGAGATCATGACCTGAGCTAAAGTCAGACACTTAACCGACTGAGCCACCCAAGGGCCCCCGTGAAGAATGCCTTAAACGGGCATTCTTATATACTGTTGGCAAAAAGGCACAACTTTTCTGAGAATATGCAAATGTGTCTCAACAGTCTTAGAATTATTCAAATCCTTTGATCAAGCAGCTTGAATACTAATAATTTATCCTGAGGAAATAACCAGGATGGTACAAAAGAAATTATAAATCAACATGTTTGTAGAGCTCTATTTACAGAAGCTGAGTGAATTATTTTCTTGATAGAATTTTGTTCAGTCATTTAAAATACACACGTGGGGCACCTGGATGGCTCAGTCAGTTAAGTGTCGGACTTCGGCTCAGGGCATGATCTCCTGCTTCGAGAGTTCGAGCCCCGCGTCGGGCTTTGTGCTGACAGTTCAGAGCCTGGAGCCTGCTTCAGGTTCTGTGTTTCCCTCTCTCTCTGCCCGTCCCCACTTGTGCTCTGTTTTTCCCTCTCTCTCAAAAATAAACACCAAAAAATATATAAAATAAAACAAAATACACACGTGGATGTACAGACACAAACATACACATTCACAATATTCTCCTGCGTATGAGAAGCAACCAACACTACGTGATTGCCACTAAAAGCCATTCACTGACAAAAAAGGAAAGAAGTCTACGATTTTGGAAAAGTGAAGTGGACATATATTTAATGTGACAATGTCACAAAACCCACAAAAACCGGGGTCACTCTATACCTTTATATCACCGTCAATTTTTTCCCATTCTTCTGCTGTAAAGCTGGATGCTGTTGCTGCAGGCTTATCTTTCCTCAAAGCTCTACTTTCAGGAGCCAAGCCTTTAAGGCGCTTTTCACAAAATTCCGTAAGTTCAGGATAATATCCTTCCTCACCAGACCTTTAAAAAAAATTCAGACTTTGGAGTTACCACTTTATTTAGAGATCATGTAGTCTGGTGGTTTACAGGCTGGGCTCTGTGGAGCAGAGGGGTTCTGTGGAGATCTCCAGGGCAGCCCCTGCACAGGGATGAGGGCCGGAGTGTGGGCTCCCCACTCCCCTTCCTCAACCAGCACAACCTCCATTTTTACGTTACTCTATGGAGTGAAGCTGCGAAGGAAAAAATGGAGCCCCAAAGACACCAGTTTCCATCACACACTTTGAAAGTTGAGTAACATTTTCTCTCCTCTGTAACGTGTTCACTTTGTTACATAAGATAATTTTAACTTACAAATGGAAATTCAATATTAGAGATAGGCACACAGTGAGACTGGATTTCCCTTCCAAGGAGGAGTTTGTAGCTCAATTTTTTCCCCCAAAGGGATAGGAAGAAAATGGCGAAGGAAGGGTTCAGAACAACACATCTCTAACCAACCATTCCAGGAACAGAATTCACTCCTAGAGAGTTAAATGGAAAACTCTGTTCATGGCTGTTTAAAGAAAATCAATCCTTTCCATTTCTCTTGTAAGCCTGTTTACTTTTAAATTTTTAGAAAAATTGAGAAAAAAAAAATCCCACTTTCAAATTAAAATTTTTAAAATAAGTTCCAAACCGGGGCGCCTGGGTGGCTCAGTCGGTTGAGCCTCCGACTTCAGCTCAGGTCACGATCTCACGGTCTGAGTTCGAGCCCCGCGTCGGGCTCTGGGCTGATGGCTCAGAGCCTGGATCCTGCTTCCGATTCTGTGTCTCCCTCTCTCTCTGCCCCTCCCCCGTTCATGCTCTGTCTCTCTCTGTCTCAAAAATAAATAAACGTTAAAAAAAAAATTATTGGGGCGCCTGGATGGCGCAGTCGGTTAAGCGTCCGACTTCAGCCAGGTCACGATCTCGCGGTCCGTGAGTTCGAGCCCCGCGTCAGGCTCTGGTCTGATGGCTTGGAGCCTGTTTCCGATTCTGTGTCTCCCTCTCTCTCTGCCCCTCCCCCGTTCATGCTCTGTCTCTCTCTGTCCCAAAAATAAATAAACGTTGAAAAAAAAATTAAAAAAAAATTATTAAATAAGTTCCAAACCAATGCAATTTAATTAAGCCATTCACAGAATTTCTTAGAACCAACATAACGTGGCTTTTAAACTCTTCCATCATGCAAACTTCTCATTTGCTTTATCAGTCCTTGACCAAACATAAATGAAAAGGTGCATACACTGCTGAGAAAAAAAGGAAAAATATGATATCTTTCATCGTTCCATTTCAGAAATGATGAGGTTATGACATCTACTCTGCCTGGGCATAAGCAGGGATGCTTAGGGAGGACAGGAGGCTGAAGGTGTTAACAGAGAAAAAAAGGACAGGACACAGTGATGAGGAAGGGGGTCACAAGGGAAAAAATATAGAACTGCCACCAAGCAAAAGCAATACTACTGATGTGCTCAAAAGGAGTAATTCCTGTTCCACAAGTGCTTCTGCAATATTAGGAAGGAAAGGAAAACCCCCCATGACATCCAAAATAGGTGGCACAGATTGGTATGCCACAGGGCAGTGTTTCTTGGAATGGGCTCCCTTGACCACCTGCATGTCAATCAGCCAGGCACTTGTTTAAAAACATATGTTCCTGGGCCCCACTCCAGATTTCCTGAGGCAGGATCTCTGGGAATGGGACCCTCAAATTTGCATTTTTAACAACCATATCTGATGTATATTAAAGTCTAATAATCACCACCACGGGGTCCTCCCCCTAAGAAGATCCAGATCCCCTGCCTTCTGGTCCTACTTCCTGATCTTCCCGTCATCCTCTCCTTGTGACCAGCTCACAGTAAGTTGGCATCTTTGTTGGCAGATAGTATGGAGGGGGGGAGAGTACCAAAGAACTTTATCAACCGGTAGGCTGGTGAGCTAACCTTATCTCCTAATGGCTACTCCTACAGCTACTTTACCTTCTCCTAGAAAACGTGGAGGAAGCAAGAAAAATATCCTCTTGAATACTAATGAGCCTAACTGGCATGCTGGAAGTAGACCTAGCCAGAACCCTCCAAACTAACCACTGGATCAAAACAATGATTTTGGAACCTAACTTGGGGGAAAAACAAAACAAAACAAAAAAACCAACATCAATGTTTGAAAAATTTCTGCAATATTTCTGAGAGTTTCAACTTTCAGAAGGCACAATATAATTGGCACACTGAAACATAAAATGATTTTTGAATGCTTACCTGAGCACACAAAGAATTTTTTCCAAGTGTTTAACATCTGAACATTTTTCAATATACTTGAAATCCAAATGTTCAACGGGAATTTTAAATGTTTTTGTTGTTCCAAAACCCCACAATGATGGATAATCTTTGGTAGTCATGGCTGAAATGTAGCACAGAAAAAAGTTATGAAGTATATACATAGTAAGACTTAATTTGGATAGTAGTAACCATCTAGGCATTTCTGTAACATTTATTTTTCAAGTCTATGGAAAAGGAGCTGTGTTTTTTCTAAGAAGGAAGGCTGCTCATTTTAAACTCTCTCTCCCTGATAACAACAGTTAAGTCATTCCCTGCCTTTACATTCCCTGCTGCCGTCACATCAACGAACAGCTCCCAGATCTGTGTTCTAATGGCACTGTGCCCATACCTTTCTCATGGCATGTATTTTAATTATGTATTTTTGTCTTCCCTTCTAGACAGTGAGATCTTACTTTATTCATCATCATATATTCAGGACTAACATAAGTAGTGCCTTAGACCTTTAAGAAACACTTGCTGAGGGGCACCTGGGTGGCTCAGTTGGTTAAGTGTCCAACTTCAGCTCAGGTCATGATCTCATGGTTCATGAGTTCGAACCCCGCATCAGGCTCTGTGCTGACAGCTCGGAGCCTGGAGCCTGCTTTGGATTCTGCGTCTCCCTCTCTGCCCCTCCCCTGCTCGTACTCTCTATCTCTCTCAAAAAAAATAAACATAAAAAAAAAAAAAAAAAAAGAAATGCTGAGCTGAAATGGGAATGGGGGCCTTGGACAGTTTCACTTTAAGGATACTGCTGCTAATTATGATGATAATAATAACAGCAAAAAATACACAGTTCTAAATGAGTGCTGGGCACCACCCTAAGAACTTTACATACATTACCTCATTTAATCTTTCAACTACTGTAACAGGTAGGTTTTATTTTAAGTAAAGTGCTGTAATAACAGTTAACACTTAGGGATCTAAGTTACTGTATGGCATGGATTATCTCACATAATCTTCAAAACCACTCTCGAGAGGGGAATTAATAATTACTATTTTACAGATAAGGAAGTTGGTATTTTAAGTAACCTGCTCGAAGTCATGTAACTACTAAATAGTGAACTGGGGATTTGAATCTCAGTTGGCAACTGCAGAGCCTACATACTTAGCATCACACCCAGGCTTTTCATCTGCAGGTGGCAACCCCTGGAATCAATTTAGTGAGTTGCGATTAGCACTGTCTTACAATGAGACAGAACAGAACAGCAACAAAAATATCTGACTACTTCACATACCATTAAAGTAAATACTTGTTTTGTAAAAACTTTTATTTCATGTCTATACAAATGACAAATGTGTGGAAATACATGCACATGTTGCAAATAAATTTATCATGAGTCATTGCCAAAAATGTTTAAAAACACTGCAGTAAAACATATTGGTTTATAAATTTTAAAACAATTAAGTAGCAATGGGTCTAATTCACCAGGAGTATTTCCTCCAGCATGCCTGCCCTCTGGGATTCTGGTCCTACATCAGACCTCTGCAGAAAGAGAGGTGTTTCTGGTCCTCCATGTTCCTGCTGGCCTTGACTTGGGCATAGAAAAGGGATTGCCAGTTCATCAACTCTTGGATGAAATCCAACTGAGAACTGAGAGTATGGTTTGCACACTATACTGGCAAGGCCCAGGATGATGAATATGTCCCATCACAAGGACAGCCTTAAGGGTAGAAGTTACTGGAGAGCAACATGAAGAACTTTTAAATGATTGCCGCTGCCCAGAAAAGAATGGGTTGCATTAGTAGAATTTTTCCAAAGAGTTGGAGGATCTTTCATGGGAGAAACTTAAAAACATCCAACAGGATTAAAATACATGATCTCAAATTGAATTTATCTTGCAACCCCTGAAATTTCACGATTTGAAGAAATCACAGTGAAAAGCATTTGAAATAGCAGAGCCATCTCTTACCTAAGCAAATGAATTTCATTCTGCACAGTTTTAACATTTCCCTGAAAATCCTTTTTGAAAACTACCATGTTTGTTTGGGCTGTTTTCCGGCACAATGCGCATCTTACTAAATGTTAATTCTCAAGTTCCAAAGAGGAAGTCATACAATATTCGCTCTCATTTGAACCTTTCCACATCTGTTTGGAATTTGATTAGGAAAAACCTCGGTCCTAGTTGGATTTAATCTCTTCATCATCATCCTGATCCACATCCATTTCCCATATTCCCTAATCAGCGGGCAGAAATAACCTCCAGTGCAAAGTGTGATGCGCAACAAGAAAACCGGTTTTCTTCCACCTGGGCACCTTCTTTCCAGAAACCACAGGGCCGAGCGCCCCCTGCAGGCGGAGACCGAAAGGAAATGGCTTCCTCAGCCATAGCAACGGTTTGTGTACAGCGCGGCCGCCGAGGGGCGGGGGAGGCTGGTCAGGGACAGGCCGGGAACCCTCAGCTCTACAGCCAACCCAAGGGTCAACGGGCCCTTGAGGACACTGAGATTGCTCCCCATTCCCCAGCTCTGGTCGCCGCCGGCGGACCCCAGCAACCCCCGTCCCAACATCGGCCACCGTCAGCTGCAGGAAACTAAAGCCCGTTTGTTCATCCCATAACTCCCTCCCTCAGTCGAGTCCGACCGTACATTTGCTTCTTAGGGTCCGCCTTTCACCCCAGCTCCCTGAGGGAACTGCGATGGGAAGATGTAATTTACGCCTGGCCGGCAGGTACTCACCTGGCTCTCAGACCCAGCGTTGTGGAAGGACGAGACCGCTACACAATTCACCGCAGGTGCCGATATTGGGGGAGTGTCGCCCCGCCTGGGTACCCAAAGGCCAGAGGCTGAGCGCCGGGGGCGGGACTAGAGCCTCTGCGAATGATTGGCTGGCCCTCGATCTGCCGCACTGATTGGCCTCCGCGCCCAGCTTTGCCGGCACAGATCATTAGGGAGAAGTTAAGAGTCCAAGTTAGAGGGTTCCCTTTCTGTTTTGCATTCGTTTTTGATGGCGTTAAAACGCCGTTACAGTTCTGTAAATTGATAACCATTCCATTTCAATTTTAGAAATATAATTAAATGTTCAGGATATCTACAAGGCAATCCAGATTTAGCCCTTCCCCTTTAGACAAAAGAGTAAATGAAAGATTCTGCCTTCCTTTGCAGGTGTTCAACATTTTCTGAGCGCTGGTTGAGTCAGACACTGTACTGGGCACCGGGATACAAAAGCAAATAAGGCACAATACAATCCAAATGAATAAAACAATAGATATCATTTGTGGGGAAATATATTTCACTTTATAATTTCAGATTAGTGCCTGGCACATAACAGGAATTCATTAATGCAATTCGCCCTCCTCTCTGCACTTAAATTCAATCTACAGTCCTTTAGCAGCACCAATAGTGGTAAAAACTCTGCTAAAAACATGATTAACAATACATTTATTATTATTTCCATTGCCAGTGCTACAGAATGTTAAATTTGATATTTATAGACATTCAAACTTTAGCATAATCCTTAGTAAGCTTTATTAAATTGTCATGGGGAACGTCATCACATGCCCCAATCCATGCATAATCATTTCACACCTCATTCCAGCCAACAAACTTCACTCAAAACTATGTCCTAGGTTTAAAACACTGGCTATTCTAACTTCCAGCATGGGAGAAATCCTTTAAATATTCGGTGAAATGGTTGTAATTCCACATGCCCTGTAATTTTCTTTTCACTGTTTTCTTCTGGTTATAATTATGTATATACATTTATGCTGAATAAACAAGTAGGATAAAAAGTAAAATGACTGGAATAGACTATGTAGGCAAAAGAAAATTATCACTATCATCTTCATAGAGTTAAGACTTGCATCCAAGAAACAAGGATGGATATATACTTTAATTTTTCTTTGAATGTATATATATTCAAATATATTTTTGAAGAAAAACTAATAACCTTGTAGAAATTAAAATTATACCAGAAATGAAAATCCCAATAAATGGATTAGAAACTAAAATTGAGGAGTGCCTGGCTGGCTGTTAGTGGAGCATGTGACTCTTGATTTTGGGGTCATGAATTGAGGCCCCATGTTGTGTGTAGAGCTTACTTTAAAAAAAAAAAAAAGAAAGAAAAATTGAAGGCATCTTTTAAAGAGCAAAGAAACAAAGGAAAAGGAAAGATGAGGAAGTCAGGTCAATGAAGTCTAATATTAGATTTTTAAAAAAAGACCTAGAGAGAAGAAAATATCGAGGGCAGGAAGTTACTAAACAATTCAAGAAAATTTCCCAGAATTGAAGAGCTTTACTTTCCAGGTTGAAAGTACACACCCAAGTGACCAGAACAGTGGAAAAGAGCCCCATACCAAGGCACATATTATAAAATTTCGATACACTGGCAAGGAAAACTCTAATTTTCCAGAAAGAAAAGTCATCACACACAAAGAATTAGATAGAAGAATGGTTTTGGATTTCTCAACGATATTGGAAACTAGTGGACTATAAAACAATCCTTCAAAATTCTGATGCTGGTGAAGAACACCAGAAAAGATCATTTCAACGCAGGGGGAAAAGCATGGGAAAGGACAGATAAGAAAGAAATAAGTCCTGTTACCTGCTTAAGGAACTGCAGAGATCTCCTTAGAACCAAAAGATTAAGTGGTTTAAGTGGGCTGAACTTGTGACAGAGATAGAAAAGGAGTCATATTATCAAGAACCAAATATACCATTCCCAATAGTTTTTACTTTATCAAAATGGAGAGCTACTGAGGATTTTCAGCAGGACAGCGCCATGAAATCTGTATTTCAGAAAGAGCAATCTCAAGAGTATGGAGACAGCAAGGCCCATAGCTGGAAGACTAATCCTAAAACTAACAAAATCGTCTTTGTGGAAAACAGTAATACTTAGACAGTAATGGTGGTAATAGTTAACATTTGTTAGGGTAAAAGCTTTTATGGATTTTCTTTTGCAACTAACCTCTGAGGTAGGTGCTATTATTTCATGCCTATACTACAAATGAGGAAAGCGAATCCTGGTGAAGTCACACGGCCAGTCAATAAAGGACACAGTGGATATCTGAACCCAAAGCCTTTTACCAAGTCCATACTGTTTACTAAGCTCTTAAGTACTAACCAGTAAGTCTCATTAACCTCAACTTCAAAATGTTATGTTACAACCAAGTACTTCTTACTTCCCTCCACAGCTACCACCCTGGCTCAGCCATCATTATTATCCTTAACTATTTACATGTGGCCCTTAACTAGCTTACCCATCCATCACCCATTCCTACATTGTCCATTCTTACAGAACAGCTCAAGTAAGTCTTAATCCGTTATCACTCTCCTGCTTACTCCCATCACGAGACTGTAAGTGAGCAGGCCTCCCTGCCTACCTCAAAGTGTGTATCACAAGGGCTTCATTCTGAAGTGTGAACAAGGCAAGCTTACTTTCAACCCCTGAGCCATTATACTGGCTATTTCCTCAATTTCAGGGATACTCCTTCCTCTTGTCTTGCTATGTCAGGTTCCTTCTCATCCTCCAGCCCTCTGCTCAAAGAGCCAGTCCCCCTTGACCAATTTTCTACACAGAATTGTTCTAGGAGGGGTGGAAGTGTCCATGGATTTGTATATGTGAAGAGGCAACTCATTTTTACATCTTCTCAGTTTACACTTTCATACCTTATGTATTTTATTAAGAGTGGCCATTTCTGATTTCATCTACTATTTTTAAATTTTTCATAACTTCAATCTCTGAAGGTAACTTCAGAATCTCAAAGCACTGTACTGACCATCATAAATTCCTTCATTTTGACAATGAAGCTGAAGTTAAATGAACTGGCCAGTCACTGAGTAGCAAGGCTGGATTTGAACCTGTTTCCATGCATTTTTCATGAACATACATATCCATAGTCATTGGTAAGCAGTTTAAGTAGGCAACAAGTTATATGTCAACTTTAAGCTCAGATTTACTGATTTTTATATTTATACATCACTATTCAAAAGAATCTTTTAAAGCAATTATATATCTTTTGTCTTTTTTTTTTCCTTAAAAAGGCAAGAGGTAAAATTACTTCCATTTTTATAGATGAAAGGGACACAAAGAGGTGACTGATTGAAATGTTGGTCTTGGATTCCAGTGGTAATACTTTTTCCATTAAACCACTGTCTAATTAACAAGCTAACAATATTCAATTAAACTAACAATATGTAAAAGACCTAGGATGAAATAAAAAAGTTAACAGCAACATTATCCAAAGTGTTGGGAGTTTTTTAGGGGACTGTCGTATCATATTTATTGGGACTCTTTTATCTAAAAGAGACAAGGTCAAGGAACATAGCAGAATTACAAAATTATGAAAGCCATGGCTAAAGAAAACCTAGACCTAGGAAGCACTCTTTAAAAATTTCAGCATGGTAGTACTTTGTACAGCACATAATAAATTTACAGAACTTAATATTCAAAGACGGTGGTAGAAACACAGGGTTTTTTTTTTTTTAAATGGCATGATGAAGATTTTGAATTTCAGACACACATAGCTACTCTTTGAAATGATTATCAGAGGACATTCCATAGTGATGGAATCCTGGAACAGATGGAGTGTCTGAGTATCCATATCCCTAAGATCAAGGCAAAAGTTTTAAACATCCAACCACAGTTCAGTGTAAACTAGTCCCTTTTTTAATACCCTGAAAGCAGAATTTTTTACCTTAATGACTGCACCTCAGAAACTACACCTGCCTTAATAGTCTGCCTCATCCACTTTACTTAGGGTTGACTTTGCCTTACAGAAACAACCATTGAAGTTTCTTTTCCCTCACCCAAGATTTAAAAAATAGTTAAGCATTTTATCAGAAGGCCTATACCAAGTAACAAATGAAAAATATAACACAAAATAATGCATGCATTATATGTGTGACAGTAAGTACACTGGTATACTCAATACAAAATGATGCTGGAGGGTTTACAAATTTGATGTAAAACAGTAGTTTCTAAGGAACTTACTTAATCAGACCTTCACAGGGCCCTGGTAAACTTCATTCTCAACAAGGCCCCTACAAGATTCTAGGTCTTGATTAAAAGTGTGATTTAGGGAAGCACTTTTAACTTTCCCTATGTGTCAGATTACACATACAATACAAGTGAATTAGGGGTGCCCAGGTGGCTGAAACAGTTGAGTGTCCCACTTGGGCTCAGGTCATGATCTCACGGTTCTTGAGTTTGAGACCCACATCAGGCTTGCTGCTGTCAGTGCACAGATCCAAGAACCTGCTTCAGATATGCTGTCCCCCTCTCTCTGCCCCTCCCTTGCTCGTACTCTCTCAAAAATAAACATTAAAAAAAAAGGAAATTATAAATAATGTAATTGAACAAAGAATTTTTCTTTATAGACATTATTAATAGATGCCTAAATACAAGATGAATTTTAAAACGAAATCATGTGTATGTAGTTGTATTCATAAAGATAAATACACTCATCAAAAGCTATACAACATTAACAGCAAGTCCAAGTCCAAATAAAGATAATCTTCTGAATTCCATGTTTCATCGAGCATCAAAAACCACCACTGTATTAAACTGAGTTAAGGACAAAACACATATTTAAAAATTACATGAAAGATTAACACTTCCAAGTCACTTTCTATTTGCTAGTTATGTGATCTAAAATGCAAAAAACAGAGATTAAATAAATAAACTTAAAAAAAAAGGGGGGGTGCCTAACTGGTTAAGTTGGAACAGCATGTGATGCTTAATCTCAGGTTGTGAGTTCGAGGCCCACGTTGGGTGTAGAGATTAAATAAATGACTTTAATAAAATACACAAAAGAACGGAACTCACTATTTACTATAACAACTAGAAAAGAACTACAAAAAAAGATTTCAATTTTCATTAGTCCCCTTTCCATGATACAAAAGATCAATGCACCAAAAAACACTAAAGCAATGCTGGCAAGGTAACTTACTGGTTTAAAAAATATTGTATTTGTAGTTACCACATAACAATGTACTCTCAGTCTTATGGCCAATTTGTAAGCCTCGCTTTTTCCATAAGGTAGCATTCATATACAGTATTTGTATTTCTCTTTGTATAATTTAGTTTGTCCATGAACTCAAACTCAAAAATGAGTATAAGTAAAATAAGTTAAATATAGAAGCCTGAAAAATAGACTTATGAGATCCAAAATCTAGTATATATTTAGTATATGCATCTGAATTAATTATTATGAAAATAAAAAATGATTATGAAAATCCTAATCATGCTTTTTTTTTTTTTTTGGTAAGTAGACCAAAAATTATTACCATTTACCAGAAATTAGTCTTTGACTAGCAACCCAAGCATTATTCTTCACTTCCATCTACTTCATATTTAAGAAGTTAAAAGGATACATCTTTTAGTCCTTTTCTTGTACATTATTCTGTATCCACATTCTCTGCATCTGATTGGATCCCTGGATTTTATTTCATTTTCCGTGTGACATTCTAAAAAAGAAAGCATGTTTATTCAATGTCTAGAGGAAAAATATTACAGACAAGCAAATTATCTTAACTGTATTTTTCACCCAAAGCACTAAAATGTACTCAATCTCAAGAGTATGGTGCTGTGGCAATGTTAAAAAGAAAACTACAGGCCCCAAATGGCCTCACTTGGGTTGAGGCCCCAAATCAGTAAACCAAGACCTAACACCTAACCTCACTGCAGTTTCAGCCCTGCAGAAACGCAACCTTTGACCAGTCAATACGGGAATTTCCTTGTCAGTGCTAGGAAATTTACTGATTTTTCCATTCCTCTTAGAAGGGTGACCTTACCTTAAACACAGGATTCTTCGCTAATAATTTTCATTTTTCCACTCCTCTCTACCTTTACAAACCTTTCCTTTTCTGTAACCTTTTGGAGTTCTCATCTACTTGCTAGACAGGATGCTGCCAGATTCATGAATGGATTAATAAAGCCTATCACATCTTTAAAATGTACTCAGTTGAACTTTTGTTATTTAACAACCAACATATTAAGGAGGAAAGAAAAAAGAGTAGTGGGCGCTGCACTTTTTCTTGGTGAGTAAATGAGCTCTTAATGAGAGGTTTTTTTAGGGTTGCTGGTGTTCTGCTTTGTAACTTTAAAGACTCGTTTAAGACTAAGTATAATGTAATTATTTCAAAATTATTGAAGTAAAACACTCCCACTTTATGTATGTAAGTGCCCTTACCTCCGCAGATATATATCATTGGCTGCTGCTTTGGGGGTTGAACGTCCTTCTGAGTATCCATTGATAGTCTGAAATCAAATCACAGACTCAAATATTGAATATCTCAAAGGGGCTCCTTGCAAATCCAACCATACCTCATTTTTTCTCAGGGAAATCTAAAAAAAGTCCCAATTCCTAACCTGTACTTTTTCAAACTGTATAGGTAGAGCTAAAGGACGAAACAAAAACACAATGTATTGCGCGCTAACCCCCAAACCGGACACGATAACACTTTACACATGTTATTTCATTATAATCTTTACAACAATCCTAGGAGGTACTGCCCTTACTTTTCAGATGAAGAAACCCAGGCTTGTAAATTAATTTGCGCAGGATTATGCAGCTACTAAGAGGCAGGGGCACTGGAATCTGACTGCAAAGCTCGCGTTCCACTTAACACAAGTCCTGTTTTTCCAAACCTTAGCAGAAAGCAAAAAACTATATCCCTCAATAGGAAAACATGCGAACAGAAGTTAAGAAGAGTAACTCCCAAAAGCCAAACTAAACTGAACGAAACCAAAGTACTAACACCATTCACTCCTCAATCTCCAGCTTCTCCCGATTTCCATACCGGACCTTTTTAACCTTGAGGGTCTTTCCAGTTTCAACCCAAATACCCACCTCTTAATCCCAACCAGCCAATTCCCTACGCGGCGAAGCTTCGCACTCCGCGTTTTAACCAGATTACGGCTCGTCGCTGTGTCTCAACCAACTTCCGGCGCTGGCATATGATGCATGGAGTCTCCGCCCCTTCCGCCCCAGGCGTGGCCGAGAACCCGGATTGCATACAGGCGGCAAAGCTTGAACTTTTGTGTTAGTTTCTGCGGCTTTCTTGTTTCGCCCCAGTTTATTTCGTTTTTAAGGAAAGCAAAGCATTCCAATAGTTCCTCAAATCGGAGGAAGTCTGTTTCTCTAAGGAAGTCAGTAGAAAGTAACACTTTTCCAGGAGGGCTGAGGGTTAAAAGAAAATGCCAAGTGCCCCTGGAATCCTAGGTTAGCCGTTACTCAGAGGTACACAACGGCAACAACTCCCATCACTGATTTTCACGTAGAAAAGCACTTTTCAAATTACGTTTTTTCCAGTGGATTGATACCTGTGCTGGACCAGTGAAGCAGCTGCCCCCTATCTTTCGCATAATTTCATTTTTGCTTTCCGAAACTTTCATAGGCTTTTGTCATGACCCACTCCTTTTACTCATTTTAAAGCAAAGGTGGGTATGAGGGCAGCTACACCAACTAATTCTACCTAAAACTAAGGGATATTGGTAGCAGTAACTATTTACTGACCTTCCTTCCATCTCATGTATTCCTCCCTAGATGAAACAAACGATCTGCTCAGTGGAGATATGTTTTTTGAGAGATCAAAATATCATGGGATTAATATCAGTTTGATTCACAACATTTACATTCGTTTGCTTCTTTCATAGCAGACGTTTTATATCAGAAGGAGGAAGAAAATGAAGTAACTAAAATCTAGGGGATGATCAGTTGTTAATAACGATTACAGTTCAGCAGAGAAACAGGTTAATATCTTTGATTTTTTTTTTGTCTTTGATTTGTTATTAAGCAGAATATACTGCTTTCCAGTCTTCCATCCAGCAACTTGAGAACTTTGAGCTTCACCTTTTGCTTTGAGGAGTTCCAACTGGTTACACCTCTGCAGACCAGCTTAGGGGATACAACTACTTCATATTCCCAGTCTTCCTGGCTGCCAGTTTTTTAATTTCCAGGAAAACAATGGATTTTCCTGCTTCTTCCTTCACAGACAGGCTGACATACAGCATAAATATTTTGACCATTAGCTCTCTTACAAAATATCCCTCCTCTCAACCAAAGAGAAGAAGGTAATTCAATACAACAGTCAAAATAGGCTTTACTACAAGAATTATTAAATAAAACTATTGTTATCATAAGAGAAAGATAATGGAGTGATCCAGAAAGTTTAACAAATCATTGCAAACTTTCCTGGATTCTGACTCTCCAGTTGAGGTATCAAGATGATTCTGGCACATAACACAGTCTATGGAGATCAGAATGGATCAACACATGTAGAACACAAATGGGTCTTGGGACCCTATGGAAGGGTAGATTAATTACAAGTGGTGTCAAGGAAATCCAGAATTTCAACAAGAGTCCATGTAGATGCTAGTTCTCACTCCAGCACCCTTTTTCCAATTAGCAGGAACTGATAGTTTTAGGATCAGTAGGGAGCGTGGTCAGTGGAAGCTATTATCATTGGTAACAGCTAACTTTTCTTGAGCACTTAATATGCGCCAGATACAGCTGTACTGCCTTCTCCCAATGAGGGTGGATGTCTTGTTATCTTGGATACTAGTGCTTTTAACTCCTTGTAATATGGTTAGGAAGATGCAAGTTGCTATATTCCTCCTGAATCTCTGTTTTTCATTTTCTTTGATCTTACTCTTTTAAATATACCTGCATAGCTTGAATGTCTTGGTGATTGGAAAAGTCTTTCATTATGTTTTGCTGGATGGTCCCCAAAAGAAGAATTAGATCTTGTGGGAAATAGATGGGTTTAGACTACTGAGGTAAGAAATGGGATGACATCCATTCCAGAAAGGGAAACAAAAAGGCCAAGGACTGTGGTGGGTAAAGAATAGGAAAATGTGAGTGATTTATATTTGGGGTATGTGAGTAAAGTCAGGACAAGCTACATGTAACTCGGTTCCTTTTTGCACTTTTGGTGGCGGGGGCGGGGGGGGGAGGTAAAGATTATTCTTTGAATGATAGAAGGGAGTTATATACTTTTCTGCTCTTCAGTCGTAGTATCTGAAAAAAATAAATTAACTAGAGAAAGAAAAGGGCAGCGTTTAAATGGTGTTTGGGACTGTGTGAATTTTTTAAAACCACAGGCAAAATTCCCTGCCCTGTTTACATTAAAGTAGGAGTGGGGAGCAGACATTAAACAAGATAAGTAAATAATATGGTATTTTAGAAGGTGATAAACTACATGGAGAAAATTCAGCAGAGGAGGATTGCAAATGTTGTGTGGAGAAAGGCAAAATGGCTGTCATAGAGATTTGTTTGAAGAGCTAGAGAGAGCACTATTCGCTCTACCTGGGTGTATGGGGGCAGCTTCAGACAGGTGCTATCTTGAAGCATATGTAATTCATCAATTCCTAATCTTAAGTCCTACAGGTACCTCAAACTTAACAACCTCATACTAAATTTTTTTTAATGTTTATTTTTGAGAGAGAGAGACAGAGTGCAAACAGGGGAGGGGCAGAGAGAGGGGGAGACACAGAATTCGAAGCAGGCTCCAGGCTCTGAGCTATCGGCACAGAGCCCGACACAAGGTTCAAACCCATGAACTGTGAAATCATGACCTCAGCTGAAGTAGGATGCTTAACCAACTAAGCCACCGAGGTCCCCTAACCACATACTAAATTCAATTTATTTTCTTCCAAACCTGTTCTCTGTGCTCCCCCCACCCCATGCAGTTGATTCTGCTGACTGAATATGCTGAATCCAGGTTCTTCAGCCCCACTGGCTTCCAGACTAATGTAGTAGCTTCCTAAGTGGTCTCCTTGCAACCACCCTCAATTCTTTCCCTTCTGTTCTCCGCTCTGCCATGGGAGTGATCTTTCTAAAATGCTCTGCATGGCCTAGAGGATAAACTTCTCTTAAATGCATCCAAAATTCTCCATGACTTGGCTTCTTCCCCTTCTCAAGAATTTTCTTCGGTCTTTCCTCAAATAAGTCTTAGTTTCTGGCTATAACAAACTATAGTTTTCCCAACTGTTTCAGTTTTCCTGCTCTTGTACCTTTTGTTTTGAGATTGCAATCACCTGTTGTCTGACTTTTAAATTGCCACTTGTGCTTCAAAATCCATCCCAAAGTCATGGTCTTTATAAAGTTAGTTCCACCCCCTCTTCTTCCTTAGGGTTAGTTGGTCCTCTTTCCTTAGTACTACTACTGTTCCTCCCTTACAGCACTTGTGAACCCCTTAAGGCCAGTAACTGTGGTGTACTCATCTTTGCTTTCCCAGTACCTAGCCCAGTGATTGGCACATAGAGCAGAGCTTAATAGGTGTTAGTGAGTTTGACTTTGGATATGTTCCATTTTGGATGGCTAAAGGGCATCCAGATACAGAAATGTCCAGTTGGAGGAGAGTGGTGGTAGCTGCTATTATTGGCTTAAAAGTAATGGGTGAAACTCTGCATGAGAATTATGTAAGCACATAATGGTAAAGCCCCCCCGCCCCAATAAAATGCTGAGGTAGGATGCCTCATGTAGGGAAAAGGCAGATAAAGGAGACTAGTATGAAGCTGCCAAGAACAGAAGGATGGAGCCTGGCATAGAATAGGTGCCCAATGAGTAATATAAAACATCCCGTCTAGCATAAGCATAATCCCGTGTAGAGATACTGTAAAATCATACCGTTCCGACCTCATCCTGTGTATATCTGTATCCTGTGTGTATCTATACTTCTAAAAGGCGTCATTTGGTTTGTAACCTGCTTTTTATACCTGATTATCTCGGAAACATTGTCAAGCAAACGTTCACCTACATTATTTTTATTGGCATCTCACTGCAGGACCTAGTAGCTTGGATACACAATGCTTCCCAAAGTGAGAATGGGGAGAGACAGAGCCCATGAAGTTAGAAAGCCCGGCTGCGCTTGTGGTGGGGGTGGAAGGGTGGGAAAAGGACGAGACTCCTCTGGGAGAAGCCGGACCAGAGCCTGCGGATCGCCGGGCGGCCGGCGGGGGCGGCGCGGAGCTGGAGGAAGGGGCGGCGCGGGGCGAGGCGGGGCGGCGCGGCGGCGCGTAGCGGTTACTCAGGGCGGGCAGTTCAAACTGAAGGAGGGAATCTCGGCGGCCCCACGCGAACGTGGCGTGGGGGTTGCCATAGCCGGGCATCCCTGGGGGCGAGGCGGCGGCTCCTGCCTGACGCACCCAGCGGCGGCTGCCTGTCTCCCCTCCCGCCTGGCCCCGCGGCCCGGTCGGTGCGGGCGCGCCTCGGTCTCCAAGTGGGCGGGAGTGGGGGGCCCAGGTGTGTGCCCGCTAGCGGGCCTCTGGTCGTCCGCCGGCCCGGGGCCCACTTTGCTTTCTAGGTGCTGGGACTAGAGAGGGGCCCCGAAGCCGGCCTCTTGCCCGCTCGCTCCGCTCCTGGTGACGCCCACCCGCCCTCGGCCTCTCGGTGGCGTTCTGGGCCCTGAGCCGTGGCGGCGGAACCGAGGCGACCCCGGGCCGCCGCCAGCCTGGCCTTGGGAAGGTCGGGGAGGGACGAGCGGGGCCAAAGGACGCCCTGGCGAGACCGTTAACCACCCACCCGCCGATAGCACCTTGGGGAAGTCAATGACAGCGCTGCGGCTTACACTGCATTTTCAAAAACCCGATTTCGGGAAGATTCCTCAGTTCCGAGACTAGCTGGAGAAAACCAGGATATTGAAATTACTATTATTTGGAAAGCTGGAGGAAATTCGAAGTGATTTAGGCCTTTTCATATGTTAGAAATAATCCCTGCAGCATGTGTTTTATGTACCTTTCCGATTTTAGCAGCCACGTGCTGCTGCACGTTTCTCTTTAAGTGGTATTACTTTGGCATGAACTTTAAAGGCAGAGTGAAAGATTTTCTTGTTTGGAAGCCCTCATAACTGACATCTAAGAGCTCAAGATTTACTGATGGTAAGATTTTCCAATTTAACAAATGAAGAAAATTTGTTTTTTATATAGTTAAGTAGTATTTCATTCTCTAACAAGTGTTCTTAAAAATTGAATTATAATTGACATACAATATTAGTGTCAGGTGTACAACACAATGATTCTATCTTTTTATATATTACAAAGTGATCACCTTGATAGGTCTATTTATTATCTGTCATTACAAAAAGTTGCTACAGCATTATTCACTATATTCCCTATGGCATATATTACACTCCCATGACTTATTTTACAACTAGAAGTTTGTACCTCTTTTTTAAACATTTTTTTTATTTTTTAAAATTTACATCCAAATTGGTTAGCATATAGTGCAACAATGATTTCAGGAGTAGATTCCTTAGTGCCTCTTACCCATTTAGCCCATCCCCCTCCCACAACCCCCCCAGCAACCCTCAGTTTGTTTTCTCTATTTTTGTGTGTCTTCTGTTTTTTCCCCCTCCCTGTTTTTATATTATTTTTGTTTCCCTTCCCTTATGTTCATGTGTTGTGTCTCTTCAAGTCCTCATATGAGTGAAGTCATATGATTTTTGTCTTTCTCTGACTAATTTCGCTTAGCATAATACCCTCCAGTTCCATCCACGTAGTTGCAAATGGCAAAATTTCATTCTTTTTGATTGCCGAGTAGTACTCCATTGTATACGTATACCACATCTTTATCCATTCACCTATCACTGGGCATTTGGGCTCTTTCCATACTTTGGCTATTGTTGACAGTGCTGCTATAAACATGGGGGTGTATGTGTCCCTTGGAAACAGCACACCTGTATCCCATGGATAAATGCCTAGTAGTGCAACTGCTGTCTCGTAGGGTAGTTCTATTTTTAGTTTTTTGAGGAACCTCCATACTGTTTGAGAGAGTGGCTGCACCAGCTTGCATTGCCACCAACAATGCAAAAGAGATCCTCTTTCTCTGCATCCTCGCCAACATCTGTTGTTGCCTGAGTTGTTAATGTTAGCCATTCTGACAGGTGTAAGGTGATATTTCATTGTGGTTTTGATTTGTATTTCCCTGATGATGAGTGATGTTGAGCATTTTTTCAAGTGTCCGTTACCGATCTGGATGTCTTCTTTGGAGAAGTGTCTATTCGAGTCTTTTGCCCATTTCTTCACTGGATTATTTGTTTTTTGGGTGTTGAGTTTGATAAGTTCTTTATAGATTTTGGATACTAACCCTTTATCTGACATATCATATGCAAATATCTTCTCCCATTCTGTCGGTTGCCTTTTGGTTTTGTTGATTGTTTCCTTTGCTGTGCAGAAGCTTTTTATTTTGATGAGGTCCCATCAAAATAAATTTCGCTTTTGTTTCCCTTGCCTCCGGAAACATGTTGAGTAAGAAGTTGCTGCCACCAAGATCAAAGAGGTTTTTGCCTGCTTTCTCCTGGAGGATTTTGATGGCTTCCTGTCTTACATTTAGGTCTTTCATCCATTTTGAGTTTATTTTTGTGTATGGTGTAAGAAAGTGGTCCAGGTTCATTCTTCTGCATGTCGCTGTAGAAGTTTGTACCTCTTAATCCCCTTCACGTATTTAGACCACCCGCTACCCTCATCGCCTCTGGCAACCACAAGTTTGTTCTCTATGAGTCTGTTTCTGTTTTGTTTGTTAATTTGTTTTGTTTCTTAGATTCCGCATATAAGTGAAATCATATGGTATTTGTTTTTGTCTGACTCATTCTTCTTAGCATAATACCCTATGAGTCCATCCATGTTGTCACAAATGGCAAGAGTTTTTTTTTTATGGCAGAGTAATATTTTATTGCATATATGTACCTTATTTTTATTAGTTCATCTATTGATGGACGCTTAGGTTGCTTCCATATCTTGGCTATTGTAAATAATGCTGCAATGAGCATGGGGTGCACACATCTTTTCAAATTAGTGTTTTCATTTTCTTTGGATAAATATCCAGAAGCGGAATTAGTAGATCATTTGATAGTTCTATCTTTAATTTTTAAGGAACCTCCATACTGTTTTCCATAGTACCTGAACCAATTTGCATTCCCACCAACAGTTCATGAAGGTTCCCTTTTCTCCCCATCCTTGCCAATTTTTTTCTTTCTTGAGAGCACTGTAGAGATAAATGTTCTCCACATTCAAAGAGGGTGCCTCCGTGGCTCAGTTGGTTAAGATTCTGACTCTTGATTTTGGCTCAGGTCATAATCTCACGAATCGTCATGAGATCGAGCCCTGCATTGGGCTCTGTGCTGACAGCACAGAACCTGCTTGGGATTCTCTCCCTCCCTCTCTCTGCCCGTTCCCTGCTGGCTCACTTTCTCTCTCTCTCTCTCTCTCTCTCTCTCTCTCTCTCTCTCTCACTTTCTCTCTCTCAAAATAAATAAATAAGCTTTAACAATTTTTTAAACATGAGTATTAAGGAGGCTCATTTGATTAATCAGTGAACTGTTGAGTCGGTAAAATTAAATATGTCAATAGGAATTTCATAATTCTGCATGTCTGTTTAAAAGATTTAAAAATTAAGTTTTGAACAGCCAAGTTTTGCTTAAGACCAACATCTTGGGAAAATGGAAAGATGAGCATGATGACAGCAGAGAAAAAAAGCACATTGGAGGCAACTTCGAATGTATAGATGAACAGAAGAAATTAGATTTTTATATATATATATATGTGTGTTTGTATCAAGTGGCCTATGGTTGGTGGGGGGAGAGGATTATATCTGCATCCCCATTTTGTTTCTAACCATTTGCCTCGGTTTCCCAGATTCTAGCACTGTGAGACACCTAGTGGTGACGTCGAATTGTTACATTTGCTCTTTTTAGAAGGATTTTGCGACCTAATTTTAACTTAATAGAATGATTCTCAGGGGGAAATATTCATGGGTAGAGGTGTAATTTGGAAGCTCATTATATGTCATCAACTTAATATTTTGTTTGAAAATACAATACAAATTATAGAAAGCAAAGTTTGATGATCTTGGCTGGTAAGCACGTACAGAAGATAGCAGCCATTCTCATGATCTGAGGGGATCTAGATGGGAAGAGAACATGTATCAAATTTACCAAAATTGAATGTAAGTTTAAAAGGTTGAAAACCACATAGATACTTTGCCCAGTAATAATCTTCCAGTGGTCATTTTACCATAAAGAAACTGTTTTGTTTTGTGGTTGGAGTAGTGATTTGTTGTTTTTAAGAACTCATTCACTTGTATACTTAACTGGTGTAACCTAGGCATAAATATATTCCTTTCCCATTGTAGTCAACTAAAGTTTTTCTTCCTAGGATCTTTTAATAGAGAAAAACCATGCATTTGGTCTGGAGAAAACTTTAAAAGAATGACAGTTTTCTTAGTGTCCTTTGAATAATCTGGAAAAATACCAGAAACTGTGATGATTTTCTTCCCTTAGTGCCCTCTGGGTTAAGATTTGAGTTTATAAAAAGAAGGAATGTGATAATACTGTTTAAAAAGGTTAAGGAATAGAGTATTTCCTTGTGTTGTTTCTTACAAATATAATTACTGAGTAACTTATTAAGTAATTTACTTGAATTCTGTCCTTGCAATTTCAAGAATATTATAAAGGGTGCATTTCCCATAAATAGTTGTCTGTTATCTGTGAAATCAGGCCTGCAAGTGGATGTTATATCTCAAAATATTTACAAAATGACACATGGATAAGCATAACATGCCAAGTTTGTAACGGCCCTATGTCTATGTGGCACTGGTTCATTTTAGTTAGCTCAAGAAGAATGTATTAGTAATTTATCAATAAGCCAGGGAGTCTTTTCAAAGTAGTGAGTCTGGGGCGCCTGGGTGGCGCAGTCGGTTAAGCGTCCGACTTCAGCCAGGTCACGATCTCGCGGTCCGTGAGTTCGAGCCCCGCGTCGGGCTCTGGGCTGATGGCTCAGAGCCTGGAGCCTGTTTCCGATTCTGTGTCTCCCTCTCTCTCTGCCCCTCCCCCGTTCATGCTCTGTCTCTCTCTGTCCCAAAAATAAATAAACGTTGAAAAAAAAAATTAAAAAAAAAAAAAACAAAAACAAAAAAAAACAAAGTAGTGAGTCTGGAAATTCAGACGTTGAGAGCAGTCATGGGGACTGGATTTCTGTGACAGGCCTATGTTACAAGTATGAATAACATTATCCTGGAGTTGCTTAGCCAAATTGCAGTTAAATCTAGTGACAGCACTCATTTGACACCTTTCCAGAGACGTGTTTAAAAATTAGCATATAGTTTGTTTAAGCAGCTTTACTTATAACCCAGAATTTTGAAGGGAAATATCCAACTGACTAGATACAGGCCAAGAGAAATAGCTAAAATATTAAAACTATAATTATGCACATCAATGCTGTTAATATCATGAGGTTATCTAAAAATGATGCCGTCAGATTTTTTTCTCAAGTGTAGTTCAAGAAAATATTTGTGCATGGTGCTTAGACTAAGCTTATCAAGTAATCCGTGAATATGTATAACCCAAAAGTTTTGGTTTTTAGGATGTTAAAAGTTGGCTTAAGTAAGATACACTTGAGTATATATTAGAGTAGATTTGTTTTTTAGAGTAACTTTTTTTTATTGCCATAGCGTTTTCTATTATTATCTATAGTCCTAACAAATGTATTTTGGTGTAAGCTGCCAAACTCCTCATTTCAAAGGAAGAATAAAATTTGTTTTCCTCTGTAGAAACAGAGCTTTTGAAGATGTCAGAGAGACATTTAGGTCAGACTTGCCCTGGAGCAGAAAACGAGGTGGACTCTCCTGTCAATTTCACGTATTCCAGCTTCAGAGACTACTGTTCTACATCTTCATTTCAAGACAGTGGCTACAATGAGTTGTTACAGCCTTGCAACGATGAGAATACAGGTAAAGAATTATTTGGAAAGAAAGGAAAAGGCCCACCATTAATCCATGAACATCCTGAAACTTCAGATCTGGGCTTGACTCATCCTTTAGAATCTCCAACTCAAAAAAAGAGAGGTGTCTTTTCTAGGAAGGAAAAGGAGAAAAGCCCCGAACTTTGTGAAACTCCTAAACTCAGTGGGAAAAAATTTTTGCAGCGCAGAAGGTTGGACACATCTTTCTCTCTTCTAACAGGGGACTTTGAATCACAAAATAGTTCTCTAGAAAGTAGTATGAACCAAGTCCTCAACTTAGAAAAAAATATTCCAAGCCATGTTTCAGGTCTTCCACGGCAAAACAGTTTTAGTCCTTTAGTTACTAGTACTTTGAAGACAGAAGAAGCAACCTCTAGCAGTCAAAAATTGAGACTTAATTTTTCTCAACAGAAGACTTCCACGGTTGATGATTCCAAAGATGACTATAGCCTGTTTGAAGTTGAATGTCTATCTCCGATTCAGGGCAATAGTTTTAGAGACTCTATCACATATGACCTTAGTGATAGCAGTCTGTTTGTTAATGATGAGAATACATATCCCAAACCTCTGGGCTCCTCTGTTAGTGGAACAACTTGTGGGACAGATGGGGACATACGTGTGACTCCAATAAGTAATCTTGTAGCAAACATTAAATTTAATGCAAGTCAAAGGCTCTCCCCTTCAACTAAAGTGAGGGGCAATATTTCAACACCTGAAGACAGTGGTTTTAACTCACTTTGCTTGGAAAAATCAGAAGATTCCCTCTCTGACCAGGAGGGTTCTTTTCAAGAACTTCAGAAACATAAGGGAACTGTCAGAGTGGGGAGCACCATAAAAAAGTCAAGGCATCTTAGAAGGCTGAGAAGATTGTCCACCCTGGAGGAGCATGGCTCACAATCTGAGACAGAAGGGGAAAAGCAGACTGACCACTCTGACTCTAAAACAACACCAGCAGCTGCCTCAGACTCCTCAGAGAGTCAGCTGAGCAGTGACACTAAGATGTTAAGCTTTAAGAATTTATCAAAGACCCCAGCCTTGCAGTTAGTGCACGAGCTCTTCATGAGAAACAAAAGAAAAAGATTCCAGCAGAATGGTGCACATGAATTCTTAGAAGAAAGGGATGGGGGGCAAATAGCCGTGCTTCAGTGTATACTTACAGGACTGATTGGCAAGAAAATGGGTATAGAGAAACTGGACGTCTTAACAGAATTAAAATATAGAAATTTAAAGCATATTCTTGCTATGGTTTTAGATTCCTTGACTGCAGAAAGCCTATTCAGGTAAGAAATAATTTTTTTTTTTTTCTGAAATAAAACTTCCTTCTTACCACTTTTTTTTTTAATTGGAAAGCTTTTCTATGAGTTGAACAGTTGTCCTGTTTTTTATTTGTTTTATTATCTCTCTCTTTGGTTGTCTCACACTTTATCAAAGGTGGTTTAGTGAACTTCCCTAAAGTTACTATATTACTAGAGCTTAGGAACATAGGTTCCTTCTGTTTAAAATCCTGTTTCAGGGGCGCCTGGGTGGCTCAGTCGGTTAAGCATCTGGCTTCAGCTCAGCTCATGATCTCCCAGTCCGTGAGTTTGAGCCCTGCGTCAGGCTCTGTGCTGACAGCTTCAGATTCTGTGTCTCCCTCTCTCTGACCCTCCCCTTTTCATGCTCTGTCTCTCTCTGTCTCAAAAATAAATAAACATTAAAAAAAAAATTTAAATCCTGTTTCAGATGCGTCAATATAGTCTTCTGGGTAAGGTTCATGGCACTGTCATTTGGGAAGAGAGTTTCTAAAAGTCGAACTTTAAATTTTCAAGACTGGCAAGCTTTATTCCATGAAAATTATTTGATGATTTAATAGTCCACATCCTGGGGCGCCTGGGTGGCGCAGTCGGCTAAGCGTCCGACTTCAGCCAGGTCACGATCTCGCGGTCCGTGAGTTCGAGCCCCGCGTCAGGCTCTGGGCTGATGACTCAGAGCCTGGAGCCTGTTTCCGATTCTGTGTCTCTCTCTCTCTCTACCCCTCCCCCGTTCATGCTCTGTCTCTCTCTGTCCCAAAAATAAATAAATGTTGAAAAAAAATTAAAAAAAAATAGTCCACATCCTGTTGTCAGATTGCAAATTGGATTAATGTTAGGACACTTGGTCAGAAATATTGTAAAATGTCATGTTGACTAAGAAAGGGCAACATACAAAGGGTACCATTTAGTTATTGAATCTAAGTTCTAGAATACAAAATGACGGTTAGCTTTCATTTTAGGGCTTAGTTTTTCTAGAGACCAAGGGAATACGGATTAGTTCATTTTCATTGCCAACAGTGCCATGGAAGGTAATTGCTTTTGAAAATTTCAAGGAATTAGAAACAAGAATTTGTGCTAACAGAAATTTCAGTATGTTGAATGCTGCTATATAATGAAAGAGAAACAGACATTTAGGATTATTAAGGGTGGGAACTAGGGTTACAAAGACTAAAGTGAGACTGTGTTCATACTGGTAATTTTGGGGAGTTGCAGGACTATCAGAAGACGAGACCCTTGGGAATGCCATGGCCGGAAGGAGGGAAGCCTTGTGGAACAGGACTTCTGCAAGTGGCAGTTGGGGGAGGACGTGTAGGAGAGTTTGTAAACTTGTTTTTCCATAGGGATATGTCAAAAGTTTGGTTCATAGAATCCTTGCTGTTTTTATGGCCACTACCTCTATTTGAACCCTTCTTCACCTTTCCTCCACAAATTAATTGTAGGCTATTGTAGAAAGTCATAGAATTTCATAGATGGAAGTCTAGTCATTAAACATCTAGTCTAGTCACATATTTTTCAGATGAGGAAACTGAGTTCCAGAGAAGTTAAGTGATCTGCCAGCAGTCATTCAAGGACATAGGAATATATCTAGGTCTATAACTGAGCCCTCTGATTTCTAATCCAATAGTGTCCCACAAACTCACATTAAGGTTTAAGGCCTTTCTAAATAGACTTGATCAGGAACGTACTTGGTGTAACCCAAGTAGGATAATAAACAGATTAGTGCACTTGTATGTATGTGCCTTTAAAAAAATGTTCAGATGGGATAGTTGTTTAATAAAATCAAAGGGATGGCTGAAATACAGGAATTTTATTTTTATATGCTGGAGTATTTGGATATAGACCAGTTAAAAAATGAGTAATACTTTTGGGTGCTCATTTGTGGGAGTAGTTGATATTCAATCATATTTTGATAATTACCTCTTCTCCCCACCCCTTCAGATTTATAGTATTTGTACTGTAGAATGCATGTATAATGTTAGTAGTGTTTATTCTTGGTAATGTGAGAGATTATGGTCAGTTGAAATAACTGGCAAATATCCAATAATATAGTTCATTTCTTTCCCATTAATAGGTGTCTAGCTGCCTTTCTCTCTCCTTAATCTGTTATAAGACCCATGTATTGGCTTGGGGAGAGGCAAGGCAACTGAAGTGGCCATGACAGCTGGGAAGTACTCCAGCTTAACAACTCAAGTACTTATTACCTCTGTAACAACAAGGGACTTTTTTTTTTTTTTTTTTTTTTTTTTAGCTGTCTGGTCTTACTCCCTTTGAGTGATTTAAGTTAGAGTAGTAAAAAAAGAGCAGAGTAACACTTGAAAGATTATTTTTCTTTAATAATTAGTATAGCCAAAGTTATTGACAATAGGCAACCACTGGATGTAAGTTGGGGTTTTTTTTTCTTTAGCTGCTTCATTCTCATAAACTTTGGTTTATAAAATAGGAACTTTGGAGTGCTAGCTATCATAATAATCGTTATTTTGCGTCTACTACTTCTAATGAATTATTGATAGTTCTTACTTTTGTTTAATCAACAATGGTAGGTTTGCTAAGTTTAATCAACAATGGTAGATTTCCTCCTATAGATTTAATAGGAGAAGCAGATAAAAAACCTCTTGGACTGTATAGATGATAATCATTTTCTGCATGTTGTGTTCTAATTTTTTTATTGTTGGGTCACATTTGAAGTTAAATCCTCTTAATCAGTCTCTCAGTGGGCTCATATTGGTCTTATACGAAACTATGTTTTTCTGTTAACCATTTATAAGATAATTTATTGATATAATGCTGGCATATATTTAATGTTTTAATAGGAATTCTTTCATATGGTGAAATAATATGAAACAACAATGTAGATCAAATCATATTTTTAATGTAAATATTTAGGTTTAAATTTATTGTCCAGAATCTTTAAGTTTTTCTTATTGCCATTGGCAAAAAAAAAAAAAAAAGTTAATTTTGTGGAATATATACAATATAAAACTGACCTTTATGTTATAGTGTTTGGAAAGTAAGCAGAAATTGGCGTGAAATTATTGTTCAAGATAAAAACGCAAATCGGAGGAGGAAATTTTACATCTCACAACTGAAAACAGATTCTGAGGTAACGTATATAATACTTTTCTCAAATGGATTTGTAAAAATAATAATCTCATATTGCTGGACAGCCTAATTTGGTTTTCCTGCTATCTTTTAACTTTTTCCATTTACCAAACATTCACTCACGAATGTTTTACTTTTCCCCAACTCCATTTCCTTCCAGTCCATAAGTGGAGTAGATAACCTAACATCAAGAGCGTCTTGTGGGATTATGTTGTTTGGGTGTGTGTGCAGTGTTTGAATACTGGTGCTATGCTGGGTCTTATTCATAATTAGATATCCTTATAGCATTTTCTATTTAGCCTTTTGAGTGGCTATTATTGTGCCAATTGCTCAGATTACAATTGTGAACCTTTTTGAAATGATCTCTGCTCTCTTGGAGCTGATGCCCTGTGGGTGTTACAAGTAAACAGGTGATTACAATACGGGTATGTTAGAGGAAGGCCAGAATTAGTTCTATTGGAACATTAAAAAAACATTTTTTTTTAAAAAAGCTTATTTATTTTTGAGAGACAAAGCACGAACAGGGGAGGGGCAGAGAGAGGGAGACACAGAATCGGAAGCAAGGCTCCAGGCTCTGAGCTGTCAGCACAGAGCCCGACGTGGGGCTCAAACCCATGAACCATGACATCATGACCTGAGCAGAAGTCCTACGCCCAACTGACTGAGCCACCCAGGCACCCCTCTGTTGGAACATTTAAACGGAGTATTTGATGCTTGAGAATCAACAGAAGGCTTTTCAGAAAAAGTGCAACTCAACTGAGACCTGAAGGACCAATGAGTGGTTAGCCAGGTGAAGACAGGGAAGAGTGTTTCAGCTGAGAGTTTAGCATCCAGGAAGGCCTGGAGGTGAGTCAGCGTGGCAGATTAGGACTGGTAAAGTATCATAAGCTTATATTTTCTTGAAGATTTGAGGACCAGCTTTGAGGGTACAGGAAAAGTCCTGTAGAAGCTGACTAATTTTTCCTGTGGACGCAACTTTATGTAATGCATCTAATGACTCTGGCACCCATATGTATTATATACACAACTTTTAACCTTTTCCTACCTATCATTACTGAAAGAAACTGTGAGTTCATGCTCTTATTCTTGTTCTAGTAAAGAGTATTTAATAAATTATTATTTCATTAGGTAACGTAAATAATGTAAATTTCTAATTTGACAAAACACAATACTTGAGATGAAGCATGGTACAAACGTATAAACACCTAGACACAGATTGGTGGGTTTCTCATAGCAATGAAATACTAGGGACTGAGTTAACTTAAACATTGACTTTCTATTTGACTTTGAAGAAAAGTTTTACTTTCTTACCTATGATATTGCCTTACAACTTATTCACAGCCCCTCCCTGGCTACTTACTGCTGCCTTCTGATCCTGGGAGCTTATAATAGTGAAATTATTAACTGCCTTCTTATCTTATTAGAGTGCTGCTCTATATGCTGAGGACCTACTTAAAAAAATAGTTTTTAAGCAAACACCTAATAATACTAACCTGTTAGCTCCATTTACATTGTACATCCTACAGGGAAAGAAACCTGCTTGTGTTTTGCAACACTTCAGGTAATTCTAGATAAAATATTCTGTCTTTATATCCTGGCCACCACTTTTCTTTTCTAACTTTGTTTCTCAAAGATTATACTTTTTTTTCCTTACTTGAACTTTTTTCTTATTTTCGTTTGCTTTTTAATTTTTTTTTCAGAGTAAAACAAGTACATGGTCTAAAAAGTCCAGTTGGACTGTGAGGCTTAGGTCAAAACACATTCTCCTGCCTATCCCTTCTCACTCTTGATTCTTGTGCCCAAGTCACTTACCTCCAACTCTTCAGTTGTTCCTCCTGAGATTTACCTCCACATTTCTAAATAGCACACCTTTACTGCTATTTCTTGACTTTTTAGAGAGAGTGTTTGTTCTCTAACTTCTCACCGCCACTACCACTACCTACCCACCCACCTGTCTCTCTGAATTCCTTTCTCCTGTCTCACCATTGTAACCACACCATCATGTGGGAGTCGGTCAGAATTAGGTGCTGACATTATGAAGAATGTGTCGAGATTATTATGAGTTATTGACAGCTGTAACATGCAGTACACTATGAATACACCTTTTTTCCTATATAACTTTTTTTTTCCAGAGTTAATAATTGCCCAGTTTCTTTCTTTTGTTTTGCTTAGTGTTTCTCTATACAGATCCCTGATTCATCTCCTATTATCCACCAGAACTGGAAATCTCCTCTGTGTAAGTCCAAACAAATCAGGTATTCTTCCTGTTCCTTCTTGTCCCTAGAAACATTCTTCCCGGTGCACTTTGCACTCCTGTTCTGATATGGACTAGTCGCTTTCCACTTGAGCTATCCTAATGTGTATCGTTAACCCAAAAAGAAACATTGTAAAACAAAGTTGTTTAATGGTTTTCCTCATACTTGTGTAATATCTCTGAAAGCTCCTTATGTGTGAAAATTGGAAGGCACCCACCAGCTGTGTGTATTAAGATCACAATTCTATCTCTTTGCTTTGCAGCATAAGAATTGGGATACCACACCTTTTCCATCGCATTTCTTAGTTTACTGTATTCTTCACTGTTCTTTTATAATCATGGAAATGAACAACCACATGGTGACTTCACTCTCACATTTGAATATTTTCTGGCAACATGATGTGACTATGTTTGAAAAATTTTGGCATTCACGAACATGTGCCTTTGTTTACTGCTTTGCCTCCTTTTGTTCCGAGATGGCAGCACACATTTTAACTCGAGGAGGACAGGGGTTACACTGTTTTATTCACTTGGTACCTTTAGGAGTTCTAGAAATATTTATTAAATAAATGAATGTTTAATCTGTGGCTGAAATGTGTTTCAACAATGTATCTCTCTTCATTTTTTTAAATTTCTGCACACTGTGTTTACCAACTGCATCAAAATTTGTCAGAATTTTGGTGTGCTCCAGTGTTGTGTGCTTGTGGCCTAGCCTTCAAATTATTTATACAAATGTACTATAAAGAGATGCATTGAGTCCTTGAAAAAGTTCAGTTGTATTCATTTTAATTTCAGAAAATGAATATTTATCCTTCACACTTATGTATATGTTGTTAAACTTAATCACGGAATTTTTCATGATCAGCTAACCTTATTTCCTATACTTATCCTACTATAATTTCTCGTATTTTCACTCTTCTCACTGTTAGGAGCCAATTGTGAGAAAGGGAGACAATTAAGGGAGAAGAAACACAATTTTAGTTAGACACACGAGGAGCTTCACATTGTATTTTGATAATTGGTTAAGAATGCCAATTATCAACCTTCACAAAATAGAAGGCATTACTGAAAGTATTTCTTGGCTGAATATTGAAGTAATATGGAAATCCGGTTCAGATAAGAGGTACCTTTTTTCCTCCTTGTTTAAAATGTAAGTGTAAAAATGACTCCAGTATTTACATGTAAAAACTAGCCAAGCCAATGGGATTTCATGGTCTAACCAGGCCCATTATTTTTCTGATGTGTGGCTAAGGTAAGAAACCTTCAGAGAATTCCATGATATCCCGTGGCAAACTTGGAAAAGATTCACCTCTTCTTAAACCTTGCCTTAAAACAAGGGTTGGCAAACGCCAGTCTGTGGGCCAAATCCTGTCCGTCACTTCTGCTTTTAAAGTCAGTTGCATTGGAACATAGCCTTGCTCTTTCATTTACATATCTCTACAGCTGCTTTTGCTAAAATGGCAGTTGAGTAGCTGTGACTATCTGGCCTGCAAAATGTAAAATATATACCATCTGGCCCTTTTCAGGAAAAGTTTGCCAACCCATGCCTTAAAGAGAAAAATAACCAATCTTGCAAACTTAAAGCTAACATTTATTGTTTTAATTTTGTTCATTTATATTTCTTTGACATTTAAATGTTAGATGAGAGAGAAAAAATTTTCCAAAAGGGAAAGCTTAGGGAGAAAATTCTTATGGAATTTAGTGTGAAACCATTTTCAACATTTAAATCAGAAAACTGTTCTGGAACTTTTGATATTACCGTATTGACCCCTCTCATCTTTTGCTGCAGGGGGCTCTATTAAATGTTGAGGACGCTGCCACTAGGCTCCATCTTTTAAATCGATCAGCTTTAAGATCTGTACAAGCTCAGGCTAGGATACCAGGTTTTCAGAGAGAACAAGTTTCAACACGTTCTCCTTGGGGAGAAGTTTTGACACCTATAGCAAGCTCTTCTGTTACTCACTTAAGTAGTAAACAGGAAGAATATGTTAAGGTGAGTATTTATCATCAATTATTAGAAATAAATACTCAGAGTTTGACATAAAGTGTTTCTCTATATGAAACTGGAAGATTTAGTGTGTATACTTTCACTGCAGGTTGCCAAAACACTTTTTATTGATGAAGCATTAAAACCTTGCCCGAGGTGCCAATCCCCTGCTAAGTACCAGCCATATAAGAAAAGGGGACTCTGTAGCCGCACAGCCTGTGGTTTTGACTTTTGTGTGTTATGTTTGTGTGCTTATCATGGGTCTGAAGAATGTAGCAGAGGAGCAGCAAAGCCAAGAAATAGAAAAGATGCTCTTCCAGGAAGTGCCCAGAGTAAGCGGAATTTAAAACGCCTTTAAAGAGACTTTAAATATAAAAGAAGCATTCCCTCTAAACAACGTTTTGTCTGACTTAAAATTATGAATATTTTGAAAGTATGCAAATTTTCCCATTAATGACAGATGATGATTTATTTCCTATTTTGTATATATCATAATCCATGTCTGTTTTCTTTAAAGTGTTTTACTGTGTCATATTTACCCATTTTAATAACAGTGTTTTTAAATAAAGAATTTTTAATGTTATCTTATGTATGTATTTAACTGTTTCATGTAACCTTTAAAAATTGTGCATTTCATCACTATGTGTTGAAATGTTCTTCTATCACTTTTTAAAAATAGTTTTCCAAATAATATTACAAATTTTGAACTTGAGACAGATGGCCTTATAGATTTGGAAAATGAGTATCTGAAATGAAATATAAATAAAATGTTTTCAGAAGTTCTATTGAATTCACTCAATAATTTCAATCTTTCAATTTAGTGTCATATTTGAGCAGACTTCTGGTTAAAGAAAATTTACTTCATATTGATTTCTAAGAAGACATAAAAAGTAAATTATTAGACGTGATTATTCACAATGAGAATCTTAGTAAAGTCATGCATTTCACATAAGTATTTTTTTAAATTCCAGAACTATAAGGGTGCCTGGGTGGCTCAGTTGGTTAAGCGTCCAACTCTTGACTTTGGCTTAGGTCATGATCTCACGGTTCGGGTTGTGAGTTTAAGCCCCACATCGGGCCCTGAGCTTGACAGCATGGATCCTGCCTGGGATTCTGTCTCCCTGTCTCTGTCCCTCCCCTGCTTGCTCTCTATCTCTCCAAGTAAATAAAAATAAACGTAAAAATTCCAGAACCATAATCACAGATTCCACTTGTTTTATCTAGGCTGGGCATCAGTATTGTGACAAATTCGGCCTAGTTGGACAAGATTGGGTTTTTTTAATAATCAGATTTACTAAATTGTTTATAATGTACCTCTTTCCAAAAATGGTTTGAGGTGGGATGTTCCATTTGTAGAATAGCAACAAGAAAGAGGTAAGTTCTGTTGTTGAACAAATTACTAAAACGAGGGGAAAATTTGAGTATAGTGTCACAGTTTCTTTGTCTTTAGGTAACTGATGTGTGTATATGTCTGTGTACACATTCTACACAGAGATGTAAAATGAAGCTCTTCTTACGCATTATTTTAAGACAATTTTAAAGTGTGAATTAGAGAGATATTTGCAAAAATCTGTTCTAAATTTTAATTTGTTGTTTAACTCACTAAAAAAATTAACTTCTAAATATTAAATTTTATCTATAACCCTTCTAATTCCACAAAGAATGTTTGGAGGCTAAATATAAATATAAGTAAATTGTCACTTGTCTTTAATAAGTTACACAGTCCATGAATTTTATATCACATTTTCTGACTGATGTGAATCAAGTTTAGTTTTCAGTGTCTATGTAATTTCCTGAGATATCTTCCACATCAGGATCAATATACTTATTAACATCATTTAATTAACCTCATTGAATTTTCTTTGTGTTTAGGAAACTTATTCCCAGTCTTGATTCTTTTAATAAAAGACGACTCTGATTTAATCTGTCTTTGATCTCTCTTTCTGTGGCTCAGATCAAATCATATCTTCTGTCATATGAACATTTTTGCTATTTTATGCTCTGGATTTCTTCCTAGCTTAAATGCCATTCCAGAAGTAACCCCCCATCCCCCCCCCTTTTTTTTTCAGAAGTGACTTCTTAAGCCTTAAAAAACACAGATCCAATTTTATGATATGTTTTTAAAAGCTGAAATGCAAGATTTTCTATTCTATATAATTTTAAAAGTTTATTTCCCCATATCTTACTGATTTTTATTATTTTATCACAGAAAATGAAAAAGGAAGGATAAGCATTTCTTTTGCCTCTTTATCCTTGAAATTGTAAGTAGTGCAGTGTAAGAATCTGGAATCCTAGTTCCTGTCCATTAGGAAGCACTTTGTAGTTGTCTTATGTGTTGCAATTACATTGCCCTCTCCATGGGATCACCTTTGTGGTCTTATGGCTGCCCAGTCTATTGAAGTGTAATATTTTATCTTACTCTGCTTTTGAAAACATAGATTTTACCACATTTAGTTTTAGAAATCAATAATCTACATGTATTTTTGTCTACTACAGGTACTCTTAGCAATGAAGTTTCACATTTTTCTATCTCTGGTTTCAATTGGGATTTGAGTATCATGGTCAAGTAGTTATGAGGAAAATGGTGTAAGGGCTTAGTACCACATATTTTAATGATTTTATAATAACAATTCTTAAGAAAAAAAAGATCAGGGTAGGAATTCAAAAGATAAGCTTTTTATTGGTAGGTTTTATATTTGTAATGAGGTTAAGGGGTAGGTTAAGTGGAAGAAAATCATGTAGTATTCCTGAATAACTTTATTAAACAAAGGCTCTAACTATCCAAAAAATAATCACCACCACCCTAATTATTGTAAATTATTAGGTATTACAGTAACCCACTGGAGCAGTTACCCTACGGTGTCTGCCATAGCATCCTGCACTTCCTGTGTATAGGATGGTACTTAGATTACTTTATTCAAACTATTTGTTTAATTTTCTTTCTGCATCAGATTATAAACTCTGTGAAGACCTGGACTATATCATGTTTGATTTAAATACTATTACAGCCCTAGGACCTTGCCTAGTGCCAGGCAAGTAGAAGGTGCTCCATAAATATTTATTGAACGAGTAGATTTTTTTTAGTGCCACTAGTAACTTTTATCAAGTAAATCATTACAACTCTATCCTAATGATCTGGTAATCTCTTAATATTTGATCTTAGTGATTAATGCTTCATTATACAAAAAAGTGGGATCTAAATGATTTCTTAAGTAGCTTCAAACATGTAATCAGTGGATTTGTTTGGTTTACACATTTTTTGAAGCTACTTTCCTTACAATGTAATAGGAGTGCTAGGTTAGGAGTCAAAAAGCCCGAGTGGATATCCTGAACTACTTACTAGCTGTGCCCTTCTGCAAGTTACTTATTGGTTCTGAACCCATTTCTTCTATCTATAAGTGAGAGAAATGAAAATAAATGGTGTACGATGAAATCACTGTTGAAACTCTTTAAAAGTGTTGTACTAATTTGTATAGCTACACATTTGGCTAAATATGAATAGAATAAGACAAGATACCATTTATGAGGGTAGAATATATGATCTTGATATCATTAGCATTATGCTAAATGAAACTATAAAGTCAACCTCTAACTTGCTTGTAAAAGATGTCTGCTTGGAAAAAAAAAAATTCAATCCTAAATTGAGCATTTACTACGTATAGGGACTGTTCTAAATCCCTTACATGTGTTAATTCATTTATTCTTCACAGTGACTCTATAAGGCAGTTATTATCTTATGTTTTTGTATATATCAGGTAAACCAAGAAGTAGGTTGAATAATCTAAGATCACACAGGCAACAAGTGGAGATTCCACCAGAGGGAGTCTGTCACTTTTACATGACAAAACTCTTTGCAGGATCCCGGTGATAAATTCAATATGCATATAATTACCATGTCTTAAAAGGAAGATTGTTTTGCCATTAAAGAAAAATCTAGTGACACCTCGGTGGCTCAGTCGGTTAAGTGCCTGACTCTTGGTTTCAGCTCAGGTCATGATCTCATGGCTCATGAGTTCAAGCCACATATTGGGCTCTGCTCTGGCGGCGCTGAACCTGCTTGGAATTCTCTCTCTCCCTCTCTCTATAAAATAAGAAATATTTATTTACTAATAAATAAGCTTAAAAAAAAGAGAAAAGTAGGGGCGCCTGGGTGGCGCAGTCGGTTAAGCGTCCGACTTCAGCCAGGTCACGATCTCACGGTCCGTGAGTTCGAGCCCCGCGTCAGGCTCTGGGCTGATGGCTCAGAGCCTGGAGCCTGTTTCCGATTCTGTGTCTCCCTCTCTCTCTGCCCCTCCCCCGTTCATGCTCTGTCTCTCTCTGTCCCAAAAATAAATAAACGTTGAAAAAAAAAATTTAAAAAAAAAAAAAAGAGAAAAGTCTATTGGCATGTTGGGGGAAAAATTCTAATTTAAAAACAACTCTGCCTGAATGAAGTAGTTCCTTATCTTGGTAGTTCCTTGCAACTTTATAATTTGGAAAACTAAATGAACCACGTGAATATACTATTATCTGAGAACTCAGTTCCAGAGAAAGGCTACTGTTCCAGTCTAAGGTCTTTGCAACTTAAAGACACAAGGCATGAAAATAAGTATTAACACATTCCAGTAATTACTATATTCTTACACATTTTGATTATTGAGTGAAAGTAACAAGTAAAATTTCACCAAATGATTATTGATAGGTCTATTCTGTGTTCCTCAAAAGATTGCAAAACAAGATAGATGATTAAAAATGGCACTTTATTTTTAAATTTTTTTCTGCTTAATAAGGACATAAGGGAAAAATGCGTGTTAAATCTGGGGAAAACCAACAAATACTTTACCTTCTACTGATTTAGGATAGGAAACAATCTTTTCCCACAATGGTCTGCCCCCTCGACAGCGTTGTTAGCCAATGGACAGGAATATTATTTTTCTTTTTGGCTTCTACCTATTTCCAATAAACAGAGGACTTTCTTATTTCTGATCCCCTGGTTTGGAAAACAAATGGTCAGAAACTTATGGTAAGTGATATAAGGAGAAACAACATTTTTTTTTTAATATATGAAATTTATTGTCAAATTGGTTTCCATACAACACCCAGTGCTCATCCCAAAAGGTGCCCTCAATACCCATCACCCACC